TTAGACCACTTTCCCTATAGTGACCACTTTCCAGTTCTCCTTTCTCCTACTTCATACGTACCACTTCCTAACTCCCCACGCTGGTGCTTTGATAGAGCCGACTGGCATACTTTCACTTCACTCTCTGCTATTCATACCCCTCCATCCTCCCTCACCTCCATTTCAGAAATGATACAATGTTTCACAACTACAGTCTTAAGAGCTGCACATACAGCTATCCCTCGAACCTCAAGACCATATACCTCTAAATGTGTTCCATGGTGGAATTCTGATTGCACTAAAGCACTTCGCTTAAAACGTGCAGCCTGGAACAGTTACCGCTACAAGAGAGGTACTCCAAATCAACTATCAGCCCTTATCTCCTTTAAAAGAGCATCTGCCTGTCTTCGTCGTACAATCCGGAATAGTAAAACAAATAGCTGGCGAAATTATGTTTCATCAATTACATCCTCTACATCTATCTCAAATGTATGGCGACGAATCCATAAACTCTCAGGCAAACATCCCCCCCATCCTGCCCCCGTCCTCCATATTCGAGATACCCTCATTTCTGATCCTCTCCAAGTCGCTAATGAACTGGGTGATTATTTCAGCCAGGTCAGTAGTGGCTCTCACCTTTCTCCACACTTCTCTTCTATCAAGACCACCAGAGAACGTACCCCCATTACCTTCACCCCATCCAACGCTGAGTCCTATAATGCCCCATTTTCTTCCTCTGAACTCATTACTGCCCTACAATCGTGCCGCAACACTCATGAAGGCCCTGACGGTATTCACTACCGTATGCTCCGACAACTCCCATCTTCCTCCTTATCCTTCCTATTAAAAATTTACAACCACATATGGACATCAGGAAATTTTCCTTCTAATTGGCGAGAAGCTCTTATCCTTCCCTTCCTGAAACCCAATAAATCGGGTACCCTCCCTCAAGACTATCGCCCCATCGCACTAACTAGCTGCTTGTGCAAACTATTAGAGCGAATGGTGAACTTCCGCTTAATGTGGTATCTTGAATCTCACAATCTTCTCTCTCCTTCCCAATTCGGTTTTCGCCGTGCCAGAAGCACAGCTGACCCCCTTGCTCATTTTGAGACATATATTACATCCGCATTTGCACGCCATGAATCCGTACTAGCTATATTTTTTGATCTAGAAAAAGCATATGATACGACATGGCGGTACCATATTCTCCAACAATTGTCCTCTCTAGGCATACGTGGAAACATGGGTGTCTTCATAAAGTCTTTCCTCTCCCAACGCACTTTTCAGGTCAAAATTGCTTCTGCCACATCATCTTTCTTTCCTCAAATCGAAGGTGTCCCACAAGGCAGTGTGCTCAGTACCACTTTATTCCTTCTAGCTGTTAATGATATTGTCTCAGTTTTACCACCAGGAGCCCGGTCATCACTATATGTTGATGATTTAACCATCTATGCATCTGGCACATCCATACCAAATCTCTACCAATTTCTTCAATCTGCAATCTCATCAGTATCTTCCTGGGCCACAAACCATGGTTTCCGCTTTTCTATCTCTAAATCTTTCTCCATCCTTTTCTCTCGCTCACGTGTAAATCCCCTACCCCCACTCTTCCTATATGGCACTCCACTCCAATGCCGTTCCTCTGGCAAATTCCTAGGCGTCATTTTTGACTCCAAACTGACCTGGCGAGACCATATTCTACACATTAAAGAAAAAGCTCTCCGCCGCCTTCGAATTTTAAAAACTCTATCCCATATATCATGGGGCTCAGATCGCAAAACTCTCCTTCATCTTCATGTTACTTTGATCCTCTCCACTCTTGATTATGGATGCCATATCTACTCCTCTGCCTCAACTTCTCTCCTTGCCCATCTTGACACAATCCATCACTGTGGTCTTCGCTTAGCACTAGGCGCCTTCCGCTCCTCTCCAGTTGAGAGCCTGTATACTGAATCAGGCATACCATCTCTATCTCGACGTCGTGCCCTGCTCTCACTCCGATGTTATGTTCGTTTCCACCAACTTCCCCTCACTAAACTAACTATCCCACAATCCCTACTTCCTACCTTAGCTTCATCTCCACGCTTACCTACTCCTTTCTCCACTCGCATGGATACCCTCCTCTCCCATTCCCCTTTCCCCCATCTCCAACCTCTCCCGTTCTCTGTCCATTCCGTCCCTCCATGGCTTATACCTCACCCCCATATTTGCTCTTCTGTTTTCCCCGACCCACCAAAATCAAATATTCCTCCTACTGTCCTTCTCATCCATTTCCTTGACCATGTCTCCACCCATTCCTCTAGTATACACGTATATACTGATGGCTCCAAATCCACCTCTGGTGCTGGTTTTGCAGTAATATTCCCAACTCGTACTTTCAAATACTCCCTTCCTCCTGAATCCAGTGTCCTTACTACTGAACTGTATGCACTCCTTTTTGCCCTAAAACACATACTCACTCTCCTCTTCCTCTTTTACAATTTTTACTGACTCCCGTAGCTCATTAACTCTCATAAAGTCAATACACAGCACCAACCCCCTTGTTTGTAAGATCCAGAACTGGTTGTTCTACCTGTCCACACGCCACAAAACAATCAAATTTTGCTGGGTGCCCAGCCATGTTGGAATCCCCGGCAATGAACAGGCAGATACACTAGCACGCCACGCTGCTATGTCCACATCATACCAACCACGCTTCTCACGTATCCCAGCCACGGATTATTACCCACACTTTAAGACCTTCTTGTATAAACGATGGCAATCTTTCTGGTCAAGCCTCCACACTAATAAATTACATTCTGTAAAACTATCAATCTCCTCCTGGTCAGCTCCATTTCATCGGAACAGACGTTGGGAGACTGCTCTCGCCCGCTTACGCATTGGCCACACCCGTCTAACACACTCCTATCTGATGTCACAATCTGATCCACCCCTATGTTCCTTATGTAATGTTCCCCTTTCAATCGTACACATCCTATTGTCGTGCCCACGTTTTGAAGCAGCCCGTACCTCTGCTTTCCCCCACCTATCCTCCCTTCACCGACCTCCCAACCTATCAGACATCCTTACAGAATCCCACACTTTCTGCATCAACAACCTGTTCTCTTTCCTCAAACGCATACATATCCTTTATCTAATCTAACACCCGACCTTAACCCTTTAACTCACCAATTCCTTTGCCCAGCTTAGACAACTAATCACTAACTCAACCACCTTTCACTAACATTAACTATAGTGCTACATGACCTTAGATGTCTAGCACATTTATCTTGCTTTTAACCATTAACCATTAACCATTAATCCTTACTCCAGTAATATTGCTCATTCTGCCACTTCCCCTACCTCTCAAGCTCCTACACCCTCTCCTAAACCTACCCCCCTCCATCTAACTCCCACTCTTCTACCTCCTACCTTCCCCAGTTAAACTCTTGCCATCCTAAATCCAGACACTCCAATCTCCACTACAACCCCAACACCTTCACCTCTCCCTCCCCGCACTACCCGCAACAGACAGAACAAATGTTCCACCCCCTCTTCCCCTATCACACAATCACCTCCACCTTCCTTTGCCCCCACTCTTGAGACACCAGTCTTCTCTTCCCTCCCTTCACAAGAAATCCTTTATCTCACAAAACTCCCCAACCAACTCCATTGAAGAAACTCTTGAAAATATTCAAGACTACTTAATGAAAACTTACACTCATCAACCTTCAAATCCTACAACTCCTGCTCCCTCCACACACCAAGTGCCGATATCCATCCTCCTCTTAACGATATCCCCCTACACCCTATCCTCTTACCCCCTCCCAACACAGCCCATCCCCCCGACTCCAGCCCCGCCCACATTAATCCTCCCACCATCCCCTCTATCCCTTCCACTCCCTCCTGGATACACACGTGAATCCCTTATATCACAAATATCCCCTTCCACACCCGTCTAACACACTCCTATCTGATGTCACAACTCGATCCACCCCTATGCTCCGTATGTAATGTTCCTCTTTCAGTCCCACACATTCTATTGTCATGCACACGTTTTGAAGCAGCCTGTACCTCTTGCTTCCCCCCACCTCTTGCACAGTTATTCGCAACTTTCCTCGCCGCTGGTTCCCCTTTCAATCGTACACATCCTATTGTCGTGTTCACGTTTTGAAGCAGCCCGTGCCTCTGCTTTCCCCCACCTATCCTCCCTTCACCGACCTCCCAACCTATCAGACATCCTTACAGAATCCCACACTTTCTGCATCAACAACATGTTCTCTTTCCTCAAACGCATACATATCCTTTATCTAATCTAACACCCGACCTTAACCCTTTAACTCACCAATTCCTTTGCCCAGCCTAGACAACTAATCACTAACTCAACCACCTTTCACTAACATTAACTATAGTGCTACATGACCTTAGATGTCTAGCACATTTATCTTGGTTTTAACCATTAACCATTAACCATCCTCGCCGCTGGATCGCAATTATCCCTTCTGCTTGCTACATAAAGGAAAGGTAGGACACGCAATATTGAAGACCAGTAAGAAAGAAAAAGGGGTACGACAAAAAATAGACATGCTTTCAAAGTAGAAAAAATGGACACAGAAGTTTGTAAGAAAGATTTTAATGAAAGTAATTAGTAAGTGTGCCAATCAACCTTTTTTCTTCAACTATATATGTAAGTCTTAAAACTAATACGCAATTATTCACACTAAAGACGAGAAGAATGGCTATTCTAACGAAAATGAAATGTGTTAAACATCAATTTCCATTTTTTTTAAAGAAATATGTGTCTAGCACATTTACTTGTTTTACCATTAACAGTTAAAAATGTGTTAATAACTTGGGATACCCAGATTTTTTTTCGAGAGGAAGTAGACAAAACGAAAGGGTAATACTTCTAGAATGTTTCATTCTACACCTACTGCTGATATTCCAAAAGAGTTTACCAAACCGATATTTGGCCGATAAATGGTAATCACAGGTACACAAATAGGATACATAATTACCAACTTCAGTAAATAATCTACCTTAAATGGATGCTAAATAAAGATGGCCAGCCGTACCCTTTACGCTTCTCTCTTGCACTGCACAAGAAAAACAGGATGTCCAGCGTCGGAAGCATTTTCGTTTTATCGTTTTATCGTTCTGACATTTCAATAGCGCTTCCTCTCGTTTATTATCTTCCTATATGACTTCTCCATTAAACTAATTCTTTTATGTGCTCTTTGTTGACACTTCACAATGCATCATTAACTGAGAAAACTCTCTCTCTCTCTCTCTCTCTCTCTCTCTCTCTCTCTCTCTCTCTCTCTCTCTCTCTCTCTCTCTCTCTCTCTCTCTCTCTCTCTACAATATACTGTATAAAAGACCCATGCCACGAGGCATCCCTACACCAAGCCGAAGCGACCTACCCACGCGACCTAGCTGTGGTGACCTGATCTGACTTTCACTAGGAGTAGTTATCTCAGTAAATGGTGGAGAAAAACAGCTTGCAGTTCCCTTTTAATTGTTTGAACTAAGTTGTCAAAATATAGGGTTAATGCACAGCAACGGTTACATGTTCATGGTGACAAATTCTATCGGCGCTAGAACGGAACTTGTAACGCGACACGTATGATTAAATATAACGTCAAGAGATAGCCTCATACATGGTGTCAGAGTGTCTGAATACTTGAGGTTGCATTTTTATGCATAATGTACTCAGCGTCTCCTTTAGATGATGATAGTTCCGACAATGATAGTAAGTTAAAGTAACTGAAGTAAATCATGCGTTCGGCAAACTTTGAGCCAGGGTGACCGCAATTATGTCCATTAATTTAGGACTGGGATTTAAGTCTGATTTAGGATCCACTTAATTAATCACAACCTGCTCACACTTTATATGTCGCCGTCATGTTGGGTAAAATCCCATCGGTTTGTGATTCATGATAAATCCCCTCAGGGCATTTCATGAGTGCCCATAATAGATCCGCAGATAGTGTGGGTAATTTATAGATTTTCCCAGCTCGTTTAAGCTTCATAAAATACGGCAATTTTTGGGTCACGTCCCCCCGTCAAGTGGCTGCATGGTCGGTAAAGACACCTGCTTCCTCGGGGAAATTCCCGAGAAGATTTGCTCGCGAAAAAGGCTTGTGAATAATTTTCACCATTCATTAATGCGTCATTTTGTCGCATATCATTAAATGTTAAATTCAATGTGGTACTTGAAATAATTCTGAATTACGTCTATAAATAATTAGTCGCATTATTGTTAATATGAACTTTATTCAACGTGTTGGCAACTCTACTGCTATAAGATGTCACTCTTGCTTCCATTTAACACTCATCAATCACTGTCACCCAAACATGCACACATACTCACTCACTCACCGACGCAGAACAGAGACACTGAAACCTTCATTAATAGGATTTGCTGCTGTCTTAGTGCAGGCATACGTATTTGTTTGCCGCAATATTGTTAGTCGTGATGCGTGACTTTTTCTCTTTTTCTCTCTCTCTCTTTTTCTCTTTCTCTCTCTTTTTCTCTTTCTCTCTCTTTTTCTCTTTTTCTCTCTCTCTCTTTCTCTCTCTCTCTCTCTCTCTCTCTCTCTCTCTCTCTCTCTCTCTCTCTCTCTCTCTCTCTCTCTCTCTCTCTCTCTCTCTCTTTTTCCTCTTTCTTTCTCTTTTTCTCTTTCTCTCTCTCTCTCTTTCTCTTTCTCTCTCTCTCTCTCTCTCTCTCTCTCTCTCTCTCTCTCTTTTCTCTTTCTCTCTCTCTCTCTCTCTTTCTCTCCCTCTCTCTCTCTTTCTTTCTATGTGTAAATGTGTGTGTGTGTATATATATATATATATATATATATATATATATATATATATATATATATATATATATGAATATATACTCTTACACCTTAGGAATTGGACAGGGGAAGGGGTTGGCGAAGATAAGTAAAAGGAAAGTAAAAAAAGAAAAGACCGTGCGAAATTAGTCGAGGGCTGAGGCCCAAGGTAGGGGAGACCCCCAACCTAGGGCCAAGGTCTCCGCCTCCTAAGCCCCCGAAGTCAACAACAGATAAGGGATGGGGGGAGGGGGTGGAGATAAGGAATGGGTGAATGGGAAAGTAGAATGTCCATACGGACAGGGAAAGGGGTAGGTAAGCATGGAGAGATGATACGATGAAGGGATTGAGGGACAGTTAACATGGAGAAAGAAAACGTCGTGGCTTGGGCAGATTAATCATACCTGTTATGAAGAGCTAGAGATGGACCGAGTTTCTGACTTGCAGTTCGCCATGAGAAACCCCCGAAGGTGGATGCAACCATGCGTCTCCGTCGGCGTTACCTTCCAAATGACGATGAAGAAACTCAGGTTGAATATCTTACAACTCGTTAGAAAACATATCGATGGATTTTTACATGCAAATTTGACATGAAAGTGCCAGAACTTGTTTCGTTATTGCTAAATTAAGGGCAACTAAATCCCATGTTTTCTATGAAGATAATGATTGGTGGGATTAATTAGCTAGTTCTTCGCATGTGCAGGATTAAGATTTGAGCTTTGAAGTTAATGCTAGTCCAGAGGTACATTAAAGTTTGATACTGCCAATGCGCATGCGCACTAGGGATCTGGATTAGGTTTCAATACGGTATTAACTTTAATGGTATGTGCAAATGTATGCTATAAGGGAATACCTTGCCCGCGGTTCCCCAAGGCCATTCAAGACCGACACAAGGCCAGCCTTTCATCATTGCAGTATGACTTTTACACCTTAGGAAGAGACAGAAGGGACTGGAGAAGAGAAGGAAATGGTTAATAATTAAACGCACATGTAGCACTACAGGAAGGTATAATTTTAGAAGGGGTAGGGCGGGGGTTGAGTCAATGATTAGTTGTTATATGTCAACAATCTAGAGTAATATTGGAAAGGTTAAAGATGGGTAAATTTGATTAGTGAATGGGTTAAGGTAGGATTACGTAAAGGAGATTAGATCAAGGATAAGGATCTAAGGATCTTAGATCTAAGGATCTAAGTATGCGTTGTCAAAGCAGAAAGTGTGAGATTCCGTAAGGATGTCTGATAGGTTGGGAGTACGGGCTGCAGCAAAGTGTGGACAGGACAACAGAAGGTGTGGAACTGAAATAGGGACATTACATAGGGAATATAGGGGCGGATCAGATCGTGAAATCAGAAAGGAATGTGTTAGACGGGTGTGGCCAATACATAAGCGGGCGAGAGTCGTTTCCCAACGGCTGTTCCGATGAAATGGAGCTGATCAGGAGATTAATAAATTACATGCTGTAAAACTATCAATGTGAAGACTTGACCAGAAAGATTACCATCAGGTATAAAGGAAGGTCTTAAAGGGGGTTAATAATCCGTGGCTGGAAGACATGGGAAACGTGGTTGTGATGTGGACATAGTGTGCTAGAGTATCTGCCTGTTCATCGCCGGGGATTCCAACATGGCTGAGCACCTAGCAAAATCTGATAGATTTATGGCGTGTGGACAGGTACAACAACCAGTTCTGAATCTTACTGATAAGTGGATTGGTCGAGTGCATCGACTTTATGAGAGTTAAGTGCGAGTTGGGAAGGTTACTGCGAAACCAGCACCTGGGGTGGATTTGGAGCCATCCGTGTGAACATGAATACTGGAGGAATGAATAGAGACATAGTCAAGGAAATGGGTAAGAAGGGCAGAAGTGGGGTACGGCATCGAGAGAGACATGGCATGCTTTACTCATGTACTGGAAAGGAACGAAAGGGCCAAGCGAAAACCGCAGTGGTGGATTGTATCAAGATGAGCAAGGAGGGAAGTTGAGGCAGTGGAGTAGATGTGGCACCCATAATCAAGAGTGGAGAGGATCAAGGTAACGAAAATGAAGGAGAGTTTTGCTATCTGAGCCCCAGGATATATGGAAAAGCGAGCTTTTTCTTTAGTGTAAAAGATATGATCTAGCCAGGACAATCTGGAATAAAAAATAACGCCAAGGAATTTGCCAGACGAAGGTAGTGGAGTGGAGCGCCTTACAAGAAGAGTGGAAGTTGGGGATCTACATGTGCGCGAGAGAAAAGGATGGAGAAAGATTTCGAGACAGGAAAGCGGATACCATAGTTATTGGCCCAGGAAGAAACTGATGATATTGCAGACTGATGGTATTGGATGTGCCAGAGGCGAAGATGGTTAAATTGCCAACATATAGTAATGGACGGGCTCCTGGTGGTGGAACTGAGATGATGCTATTAACAGCAAGAAGGAATAAGGTGTTGCTGAGTACATTGCCTTGCGGGACGCCTTCGAATTGAGGAAAGGATGATGATGTGGAAGAGGCAATTTTGACCTGGAGTGTGTGCCTTGGGAGGACAATTGTTGGAGAAGCGTCCCTGTGCCTGCACCTCTGCAACAACTTCTTCCATATCGCGCCTCTGCACTAGCGATATGCGACACCTCTGAGACCTTAGTCTGACGGGATGGTCGAACGGTTTAATAGGACAAAAAGGCAGGGGCTGGACAAGTACCGAAGGACAGGCGGAGAGCAAGCTTCCATGATGTTGGGAAGGGAGCTGCGTTTGCAGCTAGATTTGGTAACTGGGAAGTCACCAAACGAGAAATTACTTGTAGCAACAAGTGATTACGCCGTTGAGTTACAACGACTTGAGGAGGTGCACCACCATGTGATGGTTGTAGTGATTGACTACTAATTACCCTTGCTAATTAGGTCATTAGCGCTGCCACCACCTGGTTAGTACGTCCAGGAACTATAAGTGTATCGAAAGGAGAAGACGTCTAGAAGAGTGTAAATAGAAAAAAGGAAAGTATGTATGTAAGAAAAGGAAAGATGACCTAATCAACAAGTTTGTCTGGTAAGCGTGTTATATTCCGAGGGGAGTGCGTGTCAGCCTTAAGGGCTGATTGAAGGTAGTCAATTGCTTGTCACAGATAGCCAAGTATGGTATCATTTGTCTCTTTAAAAAGGTTTAAATTAAAAAGAGGGATTTCACTTGTGAAGTCTTAAAATACATTTATTAAAAACACTTTGAACACGTTAACACTTGAAAAAACACTCGTAAAAAAGAACACTTAAAAATACACGAAAGGTAAACACTAAAACAAAATACGATAAAATAAAAACGAGACGGAACCTCACACAAAATTTCCAATTTCTATGCCCTTTGCCCAAAATTGCCCGAATTCAACCAACATTTACCCGACTGGGCCCCACTGGCTCCTACGCCTATGGTTACAACCCCTTACTCCCCATAAAAGTTACTAATGCGACGTTTAAAATAAGATATTAAGACACGTAAGTGTTTATTTAGCTTTGAATAAAAAAAGTGCTTAATAAGAAAATAAAAAAGAAAATGGTCACGGTCCCTCTCAATTATATTAAATCTTTATTTATCAGTAAAACCATTAAAAGCATAAGAAAAAAAGCTGGAGGCAACAGCGTCACGTGCGGTTGCGCGGGTAATTCCAGTTTCTTTGAGGGGAAACTGAAATAAATCTTGCTCCAGTACGGCTGGCGATATATGGGTCACTACAAGAGGACACCTGAGGTTTGCAGGAGAGCATGCAACGCTATTGCAACAGGGACGCTCGTGCAGTCATGTTCAGGGTACAACCCCCAGAAGAGGAAAGGTATGTTACCCATACTACAGAGCCCTTAGGAGGGGCCCTGCACCATCATTGAGTGTGTGACCATGGTAACCTTCCGGATTCGCCCACGACCTGGAACAATAACACGAGTACTCCATGGAGGCAGGCCGCATACATACGGTAAGGTGGATGGACAGCCTAGGATAGAAGTAGAGGACACGATGGGACATCCTGAGGAGCACCTAGAGGACGAGATGCAACAGCCGACTTTGCGACCCCATGGAGACCGGGGAGTACCGCGGCATCTTAATGATTTTGTTGTAGAGATGTGATTAATGTACGAAATCTTTTTATATATCTGAAGGATAACAACAAATATTGTTTTCTGTAAAAGTATTCTTTTCTTCTATGTTCAACGGCAGAAACGACTTGTATCTTGATATATGCAAGATTGTATTCAGCAGTTGTTCAGTTTGAGTGTGAATGAGGACGTCCACTTGGAGGGAAGGGGGCAGTGCTGTGAAAGCCATTTGCACATTGTAATGTGCAGCAGTTTTAGGCGGGAAAAAGAGGCGTGAAAGAGGAAAAATCAGAGGGGACTGAACAGCACGGACACCTGCACGCATGTGGAGTTCTGATTGACTGTTTTCTGTGTCGCTGTAATTTAACTGGAGAATAAAGGAAAATAGAGAAATGCCATCTTTCTCTCTTACCCAGGGAGAATTTGCAACAATAGTATTTGCTCATGTTGGTAACTCTGAACTTACCTGTACGATCAACAGTTTTGAGAGCAATTGTGAATATGACAGTTGTAAATAGCAGTTGACATTCCAACAGTCGGCTTTGAGATTATAAAAAAACGTACAATTAGGCTGTAAATTGTAATTAAGCCAGCATTTGGTGTACCAACTGCAGCGTGCGGGATGTATCGGGTGTACCAACAACAGTCCCTGAAGAAGCCCCAGGAAAGGGGTTTGCCCGAATGGTTTAATAATATGGACTATGAATGCAGGGCTCCCTGCACTCTTCCCTGGGGACTGAGTTGCGGGGCCCACAACCAGCATTTTAATAATATAGTCATCAGCCCCACCATGATGATAACGGGCATGGGGTTGGGGGTTGAGTGAGGGGGTAACATGAAATGCTATTAAATTCAATACTTTATTTGTTGAGAAAGACACATTCTCCAGATTCAATACATCTGTTGATATTGCAAAATTGGGAACACATACCCTTTTTATCAAAAAAACTTTTTTCATATAAATTTGTGACAAGATATTTTCAAATCAATTAAAATAAAGTGTATCAGAGTAATTTTTTAAATGCATACAACAGATTAGTACCCAAAAATTCCAGTGTTCTAATTATATATAATTGTCAAGTTAGGCACAAATTACTGCATTACTACTTCAGTGTAATGTACAGTGTCGTCAAGTTCATTATGACTGTTGAATAATATTAATTTCTACCAATCTGATTAACAATATGAAATTTGTGTGTGTATGTAACCCATTGCTGTCCACAATCCTTTTCAAAATAAGCTTTGTTGACATGGCTTTCACAAGAATTTAGTAACCAAAATGGTACTTAAAAAGGTAGGTAGCACCACAGTCTCACTGAAAATCCCAATTGAAAGCTGCGTTAAGCCTCACCTACTTACCTTCATATAGCATAATTATTAATAGAGTTTCTATATATTTCAGTCTTTTCCCAAGATTCTTAACCATTATCTACAAACCTTATTTATCAACAGGTAGTTGCAAGACTAGTAAAGGCAGTTGTAGAAAGGAAAACTAGAGAAATGTTATATTGATAATTGAAATATGTATATCTTGTATAATAAAGTAGTAAGTGCAGGAGAGTAGACATGATGAAAGTCTTCTTGCCTTGCTCTGGCAATGTCTTAAGGAGATGGTTACTGGTTAAAAGGCAAAATAAATGTGCTAGACATCAAAGGTCAAGTAGCACTATAGGAAGGAATAATATCAGAAAGGGTAAGGGGGGAGGGGGACGAGTTAATGATTATGTGCTACACATGAACAGTCATACAATAATAGAATAGTATTGGAAAGGGTAAAGATGGGTGAAGGTAGGAATCAGCAAAGAAGGGATTTGATCAAATGAAGAATATGTATGCGTCCAAGGAAGCACATGCAGGAGATGCATGTCACAGGTTTGTTATTCATTTATTTATTGTCATAAGATTGTAGATGAAGCACTGCTGAATACTGTGCCAAGATTTAAGTGGCTTTAAGTGTGATTACCATTCTTTTTTTTGAAGTCGAGTGATAAGCCTTGAAAAGACAAACTTCTTTCTGCTTTTATAGATGACTTTTAATTAGCCAACACCACACTGGACAACTGTCAAAAAATATATATAAATATATAATGAGGAAACACTTTGACAATATATCAATACAGACTAAGGACTCAAGGAGCTAAGCTAAATGACATTACCATGCTTCACCAAATGTGGACTTTTCATGAGAGGCCAGAAATAGTAAGCTGATTAATTATTTGTGTGATCTGCTTGATGTTAAGATTACCAAAAGCAAAACAAAAACTACTCCTGGGAAACGTCATCTCCATTTTTTGGGTTCAGCAAGCTAAAGTGGTGCTACTTATCTTTCATCAAAAAGTCTTTTACAAGGCCTTGTTAATCTCATCCATTTTAACCCATTCCTTGATTTCTTACAGAGAAAAAAATATTTCTATTATAACTATTATCACCAACCTTATCTATATCAATATTTTTATAATAATCTTGATATAATAAAAGTATCAAGGAAAAAAAAGGTAAATAGACCAGGTCAAGTAAACTCAGCAACTGACTCTTTGGAACCTCCCATGTAAACAAAATTAATAAAACAATATCACATACGTATGCTCTCCTGCCATCAACAGATGAATGATAACCATAAGAATTTCTAATTTCTAATTATATCTGTCCTTACAAATTCTTTATCTGAAAAATATTTTTTTCTTCTGCATTTAAATTTCAAAATCTGTGTTAAATTATATAATACTTCTAAAAATGTTAAATAAAACAACTGATGCATCTTAAAATGCCTGATCATTCCAGCTTCATATATTGGGGGAAATGGCAAGATTCAGACTTAAATCAATAATTTACATTACATGCATCATTGATTTTAATAAGAGGCAATAAAATACATCATATATACACTTCTGCCTATAATGATTTCCGGTATTCATAACATTGTCAGTCATGGAAAGTCACTGATAATCACTTCACAAGTTGTAGTATTCTAACATCACCCAATTTTTGTAGTCTATAGTTATATATGTCCTTTACATTGTTCTCTAAAAGACTAAGCAGATTATTATTTGCCTTATAAAGGTGTAAAATCCAGATTTAGTGTAATGAATTTACTGCTTTAATGTTACACAAATTATGCAATGACCAACTTTCAAACAAATGAAATTCAAATAGTTTTTAAACGTAAAAATTACAATTATGAAATACATGAATAAAACAATATATATAACATATTACCTTTACTTTTGTACAGATATTCACCTGGCAAGATATTACTCTAATAATGAATGCAAAGTACTGTGAAAAGTATTTAAAATCATAAACAAGATCAAAGTGCTGACAAACTTTCATAAATAATGTATGTGCATGCATTTGACAAATTCAAATGCCTTTTACTTGACAATACTTTTTTTTTCATTATCAGTCCTATAGATTATAGGAAACATTACCTCTAATATGATACTCTTATATTACTGACTGTTCTGGGTACATCTTTTCATAAGGTCTGAGATTGTGACAAGTCATGAGTGAATGCCCAGGTTTATCAGAAAATCTTTACCTTGAAAGAAATACCAGGATAACTTGGAATTTAAATTATAATGAATTGTATATTACATAGAAAAAGCTCTTGGGTAATCAAAGCTAAACTTAAATAGGTTTTATCAAAATATTTACCCATTGGATCCGGGTGACTAGGACTTCTTGCCATGAAAAAGTTTGGTTGTGGGATGATAACTCCTCATCATGAGAAAAAAATTGGTCAAGGGGAAGCTGATATTAATGTCTCACCATGGTAAATTGTTGCAGATTGGCAGGTGATAGCAATTTCTTGTCAAGAGTACACAAAGCAACTGGAGGGAGATTTAGGCCCATTCGCAATTTATGCCAGTACATGTGGGTGTAGTATACTACCCATGAGCCTTGTCTGGGAAAGGGCCTTCTCCAGAGAGGACACTATGTCCATCTACAGGAACCCATTCTGGCCCACTGTTACAGAAAATTGAATAATAAGCGGGGGGAAGCAAGTTATATATTTCTACTGTTATTGCAGTATGCTCAAGGAAAAGCATAACACAGGACAAATATTGAAAATGACAAAACAACAAAAATGTATCTGTAGAAAAAGAACTACAAAGAGGCAAGAAGTCTTAATACTGTGCATGAGTGTTCAAGTGGGCCCGACCTACAAGAAACACATCCAGACTGACCCCTTAAGAAAGCCTCATGCCCAGATTTTGGTCCATGTATGAACCAGTAAGGCACCTGGATCCAACAGGTAAAGGAATGTTAAAAAAAAGAAAAAGAAAAAGAAAAAAAATAATAATAATAATAATAATAAAAAAAATTATTAATAAGATAGAATTATCTACAAAATCCGTCATCACTGAAACAGTTATGTAGACTAACAATAACTGCATACAAGCTATCTAAATTTTACACACTTGATATGCATATTTATATGAAATATAATGTACAATTCATATTTACTATAAATGCTATATCTTATGATAGGCTTCTGTACATCAGTCAGTCTTTTTCTATAAAACAGTATATACAATCATATCACCCAATCGGACAGTGCCCAATTACCATCAGATTACAAGGCACTCATAAGATAATACACATTAATCTTCTTCTTCAAGAATCTGAAAAGAAAAACTTTTTATTAGCTACCACAATGACCCTTCTATCAATAAATGTACAACAATATGAGGCAAAATCATAGTTACAATAAAAAATGTGATACTGAAAAATTTAACACTAAATTCTACTTAGGACAAATTATTGCATATCTCCTCCCACTTTGGGGAAAAAAATCTATGCACTCATGAACTATTAACCATAATGAAAAAACAATGTGCTAAAGCTTTGCAAGCTTTCTTTGATGAATATGCTCTAAAATCACGATGTAGTAGACGATAATGATAGTAGACTAACATCAGAGTTCATCAAAAACATGTAGCACATCAACACCATCCATCATAATCATAGTGCAAGTAAATATTACAAACAGAGGCAAGACAATACATTTAACCCAGTAACTAACTACAAGCCATCAATGATTTTTCTTTGTAACAGGACTAATAGTAAAAACATAATTTCATTGTTCATTGTAAACTAAAGATGGAATTTTAAAGAAAATTTGTTTCATGCAGGTGCTAAACAGTGACTCAAACAAACTATGGCATCGCCCTAATACTTCAAAGAAAAGGTAACAGACTGGACTGCTAGATACAAACTTCTACACTTGTCCTCAGTATATAAATGCATGATCACAGTGTCTTGAGTTTATAAATAGATGTACAAACATGTCTGTATCACTGACTCATCCACTGATTCACTCATTCACTACTTACCTGAGGTAAAGTTTGTTTTCATTACATATTGATCTGATAATTAATACCTGTCAATACTGATTAGTTTACAGCACATCAATCAAACAACTATTACCATTGTTTATATTAATTATTCCTTTAAATGGCTACTAAATTAATTGTTTTTGGTATAAATGAGTTTTTCATATTAGGTGTGTGCTATACCATGTCTAGTTTGATTTTATTTATTCTGTTTTTTTTTCTTAACTTTTACATTCAATTTGCAAGATATATCTGATGAATTGTTCTAGATTTCCTTATATGGTCAAATTTACACTTTCTTTCTTATTTTGTAGTTTTTTCTTTCCTCTGAATATTAACCCCTACAACCCGGATGATATGAAAAAATCTGGCTGTGGACCAGGGTAACATGAATTTGCCATCATGAACATTTTGGCTGGAGGCTGGTGAGTGAAGGCCTTTTGTATAATTTCCATTTGATAAAAAAAATGTGGAATGTACCATCACTATTTCCATGCTCATGATCCTATTCCTGGCTTCTATGACTGGCAGTGCCGGTTGTATTGCAAGAAAATTGAATATGAGTTTTTTTTTATGACACAACTAACAAAATGTTAATTATTGTAATTATTCTTGCACTGAGTTATGGACTAACTAGAGAGATGATATCGAGTCTGTGCAAGGAAAGCAGTATTTCCATCTGGATAATGCAAATCAAATAACAAGTATGGACACTGGAAAATGATAAAAAAGCTAAAAATGATTATGCAGAAAGAGAGAAAATAACACTACAAAGGAGAGGCAGAGAGTTTTGTCAATGCACATGAGTGTTCAAATGTGTCCAGCCTATGTGCCATGCATCCATCACAGAGGCCGATCAAGGAATGCCCACATTTTGACCGTGAAGCATCTAGGTCTATCAAAAAATACAAACTTTGCTTCTTTATCATATAAATTACAATAAATTGTCTAAACTTCAAATTGAATTTCCTCAAAAACTTTTTTCATACTTGGTATAAAAAATGAGGAGCATTCATTTTATTCAAAATTAGTTGCTATGCCAAAGAGAGCACCCAATTAGCTCAGCAACTTTTTTGTCCTATTTTAGAATTTTAATAAAATGAGGAAGTTATATTCAGTTTTTCCCTCTTTTTAGCTGCCAAAATGATTTCTCCCTGTGTTTTTGTTTCCTCTTCCACAGTAATCTCATTTTTGTCTCAGGTTTATGCATTTACCAAGGCCTACTAAATACTTTGCCAAGAAAATTTAAATTTTGGGTGAGGGCTGGAGCAATTTTAAAAATCCTATGTATCAAAAGAGATGCAATTTAACCCAATATACGCAGGCTTTTTCGGCAGCTGTGCAGTCCACCAAATGAGTGTGTCTGTATGGCCCGCATCTGTAGAGATGCCATCAGCAACATCAGTGCTACACCACCATGGCATGATAGTAGATACCACCCATTCAAGTAACATGGAACAAGATTTAATTTAATTTATTCCATGAAATATTCAGGAGTAAAGGAAAATTATTCTATAAAAAAAAAAAAAAACTACATGACTGGCAGTGCCGGTTGTATTGCAGAAAATTGAATATGAGTTTTTTTTTTATGACACAACTAACAAAATGTTAATTATTGTAATTATTCTTGCACTGAGTTATGGACTAACTAGAGAGATGATATCGAGTCTGTGCAAGGAAAGCAGTATTTCCATCTGGATAATGCAAATCAAATAACAAGTATGGACACTGGAAAATGATAAAAAAGCTAAAAATGATTATGCAGAAAGAGAGAAAATAACACTACAAAGGAGAGGCACAGAGTTTTGTCACCGCACATGAGTGTTCAACTGTGTCCAGCCTATGTGCCATGCATCCATCACAGAGGCCGATCAAGGAATGCCCACATTTTGACCGTGAAGCATCTAGGTCTATCAAAAAATACAAACTTTGCTTCTTTATCATATAAATTACAATAAATTGTCTAAACTTCAAATTGAATTTCCTCAAAAACTTTTTTCATACTTGGTATAAAAAATGAGGAGCATTCATTTTATTCAAAATTAGTTGCTATGCCAAAGAGAGCACCCAATTAGCACAGAAACTTTTTTGTCCTATTTTAGAATTTTAATAAAATGAGGAAGTTATATTCAGTTTTTCCCACTTTTTAGCTGCCAAAATGATTTCTCCCTGTGTTTTTGTTTCCTCTTCCACAGTAATCTCATTTTTGTCTCAGGTTTATGCATTTACCAAGGCCTACTAAATACTTTGCCAAGAAAATTTAAATTTTGGGTGAGGGCTGGAGCAATTCTAAAAATCCTATGTATCAAAAGAGATGCAATTTAACCCAATATACGCAGGCTTTTTCGGCAGCTGTGCAGTCCACCAAATGAGTGTGTCTGTATGGCCCGCATCTGTAGAGATGCCATCAGCAACATCGGTGCTACACCACCATGGCATGATAGTAGATACCACCCATTCAAGTAACATGGAACAAGATTTAATTTATTCCATGAAATACTCAGGAGTAAAAGGAAAATTATTCTATAAAAAAAAAAAAAAAAAAAAAAAAAAAAAAAAAAAAAAAAAAAAAAAAAAAAAAAAACTACAACTATTACCAACAACAGCAATAATAACAGCATCATAATCTTTGCATCTGCCACTCAAAAAGTCTCCAATCACGACAAAATAGTAATCAGGTAACTAAGCATGTCTCATAACACAATATCTTATCTGGAAGTTCTATACACCAAACCATACTTACTGGGTGAATAACCTCAGGTACATCATAATTCATACATCAACTTTCTATTATATCATATGGTGTGAACATGCAAGTGTAAGCGTGAGTGTATGTGCATGCATGTGCATTTGGGTCATTCACTTGCTTTTGCTCTCTTAAAATATTTAATGGCAGGAAAAATAAACACACTCACTAAAAAATAATAAAGAACAGGCAGTAAGCATAAACTCTTTCTCCTTTTTCTGTAAAGTAGTAATGTCTTAATACTTTCCTTTACATAAACAGCTTTAACCCCTAAAGATCTTAGTTCCATAGGCAATCCTTGTCCCACAGCTATGATAATGCCTGATTTTATATACCAGAAAATGTTTCCCTTGACAGAGAAAGTGAAATGCATCCAATGATTGACAATTAGCAGAACAAGAGTGTTTGAATAGTTACCATGAGTCAGCAGTGTAGGAGATGGAGACAAAGAGGGTACGGAGAAGGCGTGAAGTAAACTTGTGAGTCAGTTATGGGAAAGGGGGGGGGGAGTGAATGAGGTTTTCTGTCCCTCATGCATGGGACAGGAGATAAGTGAGGAGATAGAGACGTCAGAATTAGACCAGAACAACCAGAAGGTACAATAGCAAGGCTATTTCCAATCAGTTTTTTGTACAGCTGGCCTAAATAAATTTGCCGCCACTTTAAGGATACTGAACTGGGATTTTATCTGGTAGCATGGTGAATTAAAATGACACTGTAAGTCTTGCTGTTAAATAAGCAATATTAAAACAATCTATGCAAACTTAGCCATTTATAATTTAGTATTTAAAATTAAATGCATGAGAAAGTATATGAAGAAACAGACATTTCGTGTTAATTTCTTATTCAAATATCAATGCCCTAACTGCTTACGGCTTACACTCACTGAAGGATAAATGCTTCCAGGAAGCTGACTGTAAAGAATAATGATACCAAATCAAATGAGAACAAATAAATAAATATATGATATAAGTGTTTGTTGTCTACATTTGCCTTTCCTCCTGCATATCATTTACACTCTGGTTACTGTTTTGACTGTTAGCTTGTTGGCATAAGAAGAAGAAGAAGAA